GCATGAGGGCTGTGCTTGCAGCAAGGTTTCACAAGACAAGGCACCCAGATTTTTTCTTCCCACGCCTGGCTTGCAGAGCAGCTCTCGTGGCCATTTCAAAAACCTCTCTCACTCCATCTTTGGTCTTTGCTGAACACTCCATGTACCCAAAGGCGCCAATCCTGTTTGCCATATCTCTGCCTTCTTCAGGTTTTACTGGCTCCTAGCAAAGAGAAAAGAGCGCTTATAAAGCTAACAGTGTTACTTATATACACATACAAAGTAGGCACAGAATATTTACATTCAACTAGAAGACTTGGAGAAGGATTGTGGCATGCAATAACCACCCCTCCCCAATATCTCCAGTAAACATGCTCTTTTCTAGAAAGTACAGGGAATGAAGAGGTTAGAGCAGCACTGGGAGATTGAAGAAAGAATCTAGGGCAAGCTTTAGGTATTTCTCTAGTTTACAGAGAACTGAATGCCAAGAGGTGGAATTAGGGCCTGCCTTGAGGCAGAGAAACTAGTGAGTTTTTCTTTTTGAAAAAAGCCTTGAACTCACAGTAATCCTCCTTCTTCAGCCTCATGAGTGCTGGGAACACAGGTGTATGGCACCATAGCCAACACTTTTTGTTTTTGTGGTGTTGAAGATGGACTCAGGGCCTCCAACATGTTAGGCTAAGTGTCATATCCCCGGCCACTAGGCCACAGGCTTGAGAAGCCAAGAACCCACATCTCTACCATCGCTTTATAATAAAGGCGTAGGTAAAGGCATTAGAACTTTCTGCCTTTAGGTTTTCTGATTATTCACTTCTTTTTTTTGCGGAACCAGGGATTGAACTCAGGCTCTTGCGCTTGCCAGGGAAGCGCTTGTTCCACTGAGCCATCTCCCCGGCCCTAGGCTTTCTGATTATTCAGTAGTTACTAATTTATCTTTGGCTTCACAAGGATCCAGGTAATAAGTTAGAGAAAGAAATCAAAAGCTCACTGAAGCTCTGAGGTACTAACTAGGACAGTTCCTTCCTAGGTTGGTAGTCCTTGAGGGTTCACTTATTTTCATCAGAGACATTCCAAGTTTGTTGATACAGATCAGTGATAGAGCACTTGCCTAACATATATATGCACAGTCCTAAGTTCATCTGCCCAGAATAATAATAAAAAGCCCCAACAAAAACATACCCAAACAGAGACACACTAGGGTGGGGGTTGTTTATTTTAAGACAGGAGGGTCTTGCTGTGTAGTTCAGACTGGCCTCAACCTTAGTGATCCTGCCTCACCTTCTTGAGTGTTGGGATTATAGGCATGTGCTGTCATAGGAGCCCACACTGAGGTTTCTCTATGTGAATACAGAGTAAGAGTGGTCATGAGGCAACCAAGTTCAAGAATGTTATCGAAAGGCTGGTGTAATGGTATATGTCTCTGATCCCAGCACTCCAGAGGCTGAGCCAAAAAGAGTGCTGTAAGTTCCAGACCAGCCTGGGCCTGGGCCGCACGCAAATTCAACGCCAGCCTAGACTACACAGTGAGAACCTGGTTCAAAACCAAAAAAGAATGGAATACAGAGGCTTGTCCCAGGCCAAACCTGCTTCATCTTGGCTAACTCCCGTCTTGTGTGCTCATCATTCCGAAGATCCTTCTTGTTTCCAACCAGGATAATGGGTACATTGGGACAGAAATGCTTTACTTCTGGAGTCCATTTTTCTGGGATGTTTTCTAAACTATCAGGGCTGTCAATGGAGAAACACAT